GACGTCGGGGGCCCGGGGCTTCTCTGGAGGTGCTCCCTGCCCTCGGGGGTGCCCTCGGAGACTCTTGGGGAGCAGTCGTAATGCTCGGAAGCTTCCGGGAGTAGCTTTCTGGAAACTCTCGGCCACTCTGGGTTTCTTAATGAGCGGGGGGGCCCCCCCGACGGGGGTCAACCTTGCCTCGTCGTCGCGCCGCGACGGGGGTCGGAGCGCCTTCCGCGCGCGGTGGCTGCCCGCAACGGGGGTCGATGTAGGGTTGTCGGCGGAGGCGACGCCTCCCGACGCTCATCAAGAAACTCGGAGCAGGGCGACGAAGTCTGTACCCTGGCTTGGCCACCAGGAGTTGGCGGCGCGCACAAGGGCTAGGGTTAAGTCGGGCGTGTCCCCCTACAGGGGGAGTTGGGGCGAACAATAAAACATACTCAGAAAATACCCCCTAAATACTCCAAAATTGGACAAATCGTCCTCTAATTTTTTTTTCACTATTTTTGAATATTCCCCCTGCAGAGGGACAGGCCCGACTTACGGCCAGGGCGACGAGATCCATGCACATCCGCTGCTCCCTGTCCAGGCGCATCCTGAGCCCAGCAGCGGCGTGTGCGCCACGCCCATCCTGGCTCGGCCACGAGGGCGTATACGCAGCTCCTGGGTCCAGGCTAAGGCGCGGTCGGGGGGCCGTGGATGCGTATAGATCTCGTCGCCCGAAAGGGGGCAGAGGGAGGGGGGAAGGCCTCTCAGGAGGAGGTTGCTTCTCAGAAGGCGCTGGCCTTACATCTACACATGGGCCCGCGCCTTCTCCGAGGAGCATGCTGCAAGGGCGCTTCTAAGAAGCCCTCCCCCCTGCCCCGTCCACCCCCTCTGCGCATGGCCGGGCCATCCCCGGGGCCCCGCTGACGGGGACCTCGACAGACCTTTAGACGTGGGTGGCCAGTCAGAGGGCCCCCAGGAGCCAGATCCTCGAAACTTGCGTCTCGAGTTGGGAACACAGGTGAAACCGCCTCTCGGGAGAACACACGAAAAAGTCAAGCAAGAAGTCAAGATCGAGTCCAGCGCATTCTCGCTGCATGGACTGTGCTGCATGCAGCGGTTGAGCTGATCTCTCGTCACAGACCAGGGCAGTGGCGCACCCAGGGCGACTGCGGCCGTGGGTCGAGACACCCTCCAGTCTCCGTCTCCTCCCACAGGGTATGGCATGGCAGAGCGTCCCGGCTTGCACCGTTCACCTGTTCTGCTTCCCGTGGCCCTGCGATCCAGGGCCGAGAGGCTGGCCCCGCCAACTGGTCCACGAGAGGCTGGCCCCGCCAACTGGTCCACTGAGGTCCTCCGACACAAGGACCCGGAAGGCCTCCGGGACGGGAAGGGCGCCCCCCCCCAAACTAACAAAAATGATGCTTCCAGGTCGCCCGGGCGGCAGAGAGAAACTTCTGCGGCAACTCATGGGGGCCTCCTGTACCATCTTGCTGGCTCCCGCGAATCGACGCTAGTCGACGCCAAGTCGACGCTAATCGACGCCAAATCGACGCTAAGTCGACGCTCAATCGACGCTAAGTCGGCGCTATCTCACCGACTCCCACATGCTAATTGACGCTAGTCGACGCTAAAGACGGAATTAAGAGGGTATACGGTGAGGGATTGGATAAGGAACCATTGGATAAGGAATCCAGGGTCTGGAAACTGGTGGAACTCAAATCGTGGATTGGATAGCACCGCCGCCCTCATCAGATAAAGAATCCCCCAGGGTCTGAAGCCCCCTGGGCGCATTCCTTAACGAAAACCTCCACCGTACCGGGCTCCCAGGACCTGCTACCGGAGAGAACGAAGACGAAGCGGCCATGGCTTGTGCAGGAGGCCAGCTCGGCACACCGCGCGCGGGGCTCGTTCTGGCAAGCCCGAGCCCCACAGGGTGCGCTCCCCCCCCGAGACCCGACGTTGCGACAGAGCGGAGTCGGGCGTGTCCCCCCGACAGGGAGAGGGGTTCGGGGCGAGGAATAGAACATACTCCAAAAATGCCCCCGCAATGGGCAGAAATAGTCAAAAATCGTCCCCAGACTTTTTTTTTGACTATTTCTGAATTTTCCTCCTGTGTGGGGGACGGGCCCGACTCAACGACAGGGCTGGAGCGAGGCGAAAAGTCACGACCCGAGCCCCAGGCCCCACCAGGGCGACACACAGAAGCGGGTCCTGCGCGAGACGGCACCGCGACCGGGACGCCGCGGCGTGCGTGGGCCGACAGCGCGGCACGCTGCGGAAGTGAGAGGGCTTACACGCGCGCCCTGCGCGCCAACGTCGGCGCGGTCGCACCCGTCGCGGCCAACCCTGAGAAGCGCCGCCCTCCATGCCCAAGACGACGGGGTGAGCTGCGCAACCGGCCGACTCATCCTCGCGCCACTGGGAGGCCGCAAGGACGGCCCCTCGCCGTCGTCGTCGTCGTCGTCGTCGTCGTCGTCGTCGTCGTCGTCGTCGTCGTCGTCGTCATCGTCGTCGTCCTTGTCGTCGTCGCCGCCGCCAACTCTGCTGCCGCCATCGTCGTCGTCGCCGCCGTCGCCGTCGTCGTCACCGTCTTCTTCGTCGTCAAATTCGTCGTCGTCGCCGTCGTCGTCGTCGTCGTGGTGGTCGTTTTCGTGGTCGTCGTTGCCGTCTTCGTCGCGGTCGTCGTCGTCGTTGTCGTCGTCGTCGTCGACGTCGTCGCCGCTAGCCGCCGCCGCCGCAGTCGTCGTCGTCGTCGTCGTCGTAGTTGTCGATGGCGTTGTCTTCGTCGTCGTCGTCGTCGACATCGACGTGGTCGTCATTTTTGTCGTCGTCGTCGTCGTCGTCGTAGTCGTCGTCGTCGTCGTCATCATTATCGTCTCCGTCTTCGTCGTCGTTGTCGTCGTCATCGCCGTCGTCGTCGTCGTCGTCGTCGCCACGATCGCCGCCACCACAGCCGTAGTCGTCGTCGTCGTCGTCGTCGTCGCCGCCATCGTCGTGGTCGTCGTCGCCGTCGTCATTGTCGTCATCGTTGTCGTCTTCGTTGTCGTCATTATTTTCGTCGATGTTTTCGTAATCGTCGTTGCCGTCTTCGTCGTCGTCGTCGTCGCCGACAACGCCGCCGCCGCCGTCGTCGTCACCGTCGCCGTCGTCGTGGTCGTCGTCGCCGTCGTCTTGGCTGTCGTCGTCCTCGTCGTTGTCGTCTTGTCGTCGTCGTTGTCGTCGTCATCGCCACCGTCGTCTTCGTGTTCGTCGCCGCCATCGGCGTCATCGCCGCCGCCGTCGTCATCGTCGTCGTAGTCGTCGTCGCTTTCGTCACCGCCAACGCCACCGACGTCGTCGTCGTCCTCGTCGCCGTCAACGTCGTCGTCGTCGTCGTCTTCGTCGTCGTCGTTGTTGTCTTTTTCGTCGACGTGGTCGTCGTTGCCGTTGTCTTTGTCGTCTTCGTCGCGGTCGTCGTCGTCGTCGTCGTCGTCGCCACGGACGCCGCCCCCACCGCCGCAGCCGCCGCCGTCGTCGTCGTCGTCGTCATCGTCGTCGTCGTCGTAGCCGCCGCCGCCGTCGTCGTCGTCGTCGTCGTCGTCGTCTTCATCGCCGTCGCCATTGTCGTCGTTGTCGTTGTTTTCCTCGTCGTCGTCGCAATTTCGTCGTCTCCGTCGCGGTCGTCGTCGTCGTTGTCTTCGTCGCAGTCGTGGTTGTCGTAGTTGTCGTCGTGTTCCTCGTCGTCGTCGTTTCTTCGTCGTCGTCGATGTCTTCGTCGTCGTGGTCGTCATCGTCGCCACCAACGCCGCCACCGCCGTCGTCGTCGCCGTCATCGTCGTCGTCTTCGTCGTCGTCGTTGTCGCGGTCGTCTTTGTCGTCTTGGTCGTCTCTTTGTCGTCGCCGCCAAAGCCACCGCCATCGTCATGGTCGTCGTCGTCGTTGTCGTAGCCGTCGTTAGCGTCCGTCGCCATGGTCGTCGTCGTCGTCTTTTTCGTCGTCGTCGTTTTCGTTTTCGTTGTCGTCGTTGTTGTCGTCTTCGTCGTCGTGTTCGTCGTCGCCTTTGTTGTCGTAGTGGTGGTCGCCAAGGCCACCGCCCTCGTCGTTGTCGTCTTCGCCGTCGTCATCGGCGTCGCCGCCGCCGCCGCCGTCGTCGTTTTCATCGTCGTCGTCGTCGTTGTTCTCGTCTTCGTCGTCGTGGACGTCGTTTTCGTCGTTGTCGTCTCCGTCGTCTTCGTTGTCGAGGTCGTGGTCGTCGTCGTCACCGCCGACAGCGCCGCTGCCATCGTCGTCGTCTTCGTCGTCGTTGTCGTCTTCGTTGCCGTCGTCGTCGTTGTCGTGGTCGTCGTCGTTGTCGTCGTCGTCGCCGCCGAAGTCGTCGTAGTCGTCGTCGTCGTCGACGTCGTCGTCGTCTTCGTCGTCGTCGTCGTGGTCGCCATGTTTGTCGTCGTCGGTGTCGCCTTTGTCGTCGTCGTGGCCGTCGCTTTCATCATTGTCGCTGTCGTCTTCGTCGTTGTCACCGTCGTCGTCGTCGTCGTCGTTGTCGTCTTCGTCGTCGTAGTCGGCGTCGTCGTGGTCGCCATGTTCGTCGTCGTCGGTGTCGCCTTCGTCGTCGTCGTGGCCGTCGCTTTCGTCATCGTCGCTGTCGTCTTCGTCGTCGTCACCATCGTCGTCGTCGTATTCGTCGTCGTTGTCGTCTTCGTCGTCGTAGTCGTCGTCGTCGTCGTCGTCGTAGTCGTCGTCGTAGTCGTCGTCGTCGCAGTCGTCGTCGTCGTCGTAGTCGTCGTCGTAGTCGTCGTCGTCGCAGTCGTCGGCGTCGTCGCCGTCGTCGTCGCAGTCGTCGGTGTCGTCGTCGTGGTCGGCGACGTCGACGTTTTTGTCGTCGTCGTCGACCGCGGTGTCGTCGGCGTCGTCGTGAGCTTGGGCATCGTCTGCGGCGGCGTCAGCGGCGTCTCCGTCTGCGTCGGCGCCAACGGCATGCGCGTCGGCGGCCGCGCCGGCGGCGGCGCGGGCGGCGGCGTCGTCGACGACGTGCTGCGGTGGCCAAGTGTCCGCGCCTCGAGGGCCAGGTCGGAAGCGCTGATGGCGCCGAACGGCGACCCGTCCAGCCGCCCCTGGCCTTGGTGGCAAGCCGCACTTCTGCACACGGAAGTACCCTGGCCTTCTGCTGCTCCTCCTCCTCCTCCTCCTCCTCCTCCTCCTCCTCCTCCTCCTCCTCTTCCTCCTACACTGGCCTTGGTGGAAGCCGCACATCTTGGAGGTCCTGGCCTTCACCCGGAGCATAGTGTACACATGTTATTGAACGTCTCACGCTTGCGAACCTCCCCAGCAGAATGGCCACCATACTGTGCACGGTGGCGGGCGGGCAGATCGGATATCACAGGCCGCGGGCGTCTTGACAAACGAGTCAGGGCGCGGATTTCTCGATGATCGTCAGGAAATGCACTATACAGGGGGCAAATACGACAAAAAACCGTGCTGTGAGAAATCTTGGGCACATTCTTAATCGATCCTTGAGAGTCCGAAGGTGCCCCAGATGTCCTGCGGGTCCTTGGGGCCACCAGGGAATACTAAATTTCAGTGGGGCACCTGCTGGCGGGCCGATTTAGTATTTGACATGCGCACTGTAGCGCCAGCGTCTGTTCACCGAAGACCTTCCACACGGAGCGTGTGGTGCCATGAGGGCCGACACGGGCTGCCTCATCGGTGGAAAGGAACAAGATTGACACGCGTTCGAACAACACGCGTCCTGAAGATCAGTGATCATTCGCTGTTTTCCCTGGCGGCCGTTCTTGGGGCCCGGTACCGTCAGCAAGACGATCCCTGGGAGCAAGACTGGTCCCCGCGGGAAGCAGTCGAGAACTGAGGGGGTCGCGCATATAAGAAATCACACAACTTGCGGCAGAAGACCCGAAACAACGCATGAGAAGACTAGAGGCTACCTATAGAGAGCACAATCGAGTGGAGAGCACTATACATAGTTGTACAGCACGTGCAAGCAATCCAGGAGGCCACGCGGGAGACCACGCGGGAGGCCATTACGGGAGACCGTGCGGGAGACCGTGCGGGAGACCGTGCGGGAGACCATGCGAGAGATCACACGTGAGAACCCGGGCCTCCGATTTTGTTCGTACCCAGGGGGGGAGCAGCCCTCGCCTTGGAAGAAACACCGCACGCGGGCTCGACGTCGGCGGCGTTCGCAAGGGCACGAGGCGGGGAACACGAGGGTCTGGGGCCTCGCCGGGGCCCCGGAGCGGGCGAACATCGGCGCGCTCCCTCAAAAATCCCCAGTATCCCGACGAAGGCATCCCCCCTCTGCGTTTCCAGTGGGCCGGAATTTCGGCCAGCGCCCACGCGTGACCCTCACAGACCAGCCGCTTGGGGAGTCGCGGCATCGGATCCCTGGGACTCGGCGAGGGACCTTTTTGGGGGGGAGGGTCTCTGACCCTCCTTGCACCTCTGGAGGCGTGCTCGAGCAAATGGCCGTCACCGCGGATCGCTCTGTCGGAGAACAAATCATGGCATAGACACAGAAACTCGGAAATCAACACGGATTTCTCGGAACGGCGCCGGGGCCCCCTGGCGACGCCTCCGGCCCTGCCCCTAGCGCGCTCCGCGCGCCAGGAAGGGTGGTCCAGCGCCGATCCGAGGAATCCGCGCGGACCTCTGAGTTTTTATGCATCACACGGGAAACCATAAAAGATAATCTATTTCAGAAAATAAGCGGGCGGCGGATAAAACAAGTAAGCAGTAACTGACGTATCGGAAAAACGGCGGCGATGCAAAACAACGAATCCAAAACAGTTAGAACTCCCCATAACAAGTTGGCGGCGAATCGTCTTGCAATCAGTGCAGAATTATTATGGCGGGCTGAATTTTGCAATAGAACTACAACGAATAGAGCAAATATTCGGAAAATGAACACATACTATATTACGAAAAGACGGCCAGGACGTCAAAACAAAAAACAACAACAAATATTTGTCCGCGTAAAACGAAAACGCAAATCATCTGACTTTATCAAAGGAGAACTTCTTGAATTCCCTCGAAGAATATGCTGTGCACCGAGACTCTCCAGAGAAAAAAATACAATTCTATTAGAAAAGGCGTGCCACGTGACGCGGAGACGGCCCAAGAACGCCGAAACATGTTAAGAACGCTCTCGCTGGTTTGTCAAGACGCTGGGCCCGGAGGATGGCGAACCTCGATTCTGCATATGGAGCCCAGCTTCTTTGGAAAGCAAGCTCTCAGGATTGAGGGGTGAAAGCCCTCCAGAATACAATGAGGGTCCCAAAACAGTGCGACTACAGACCGTGAAGTGACCTCGGAAACCCCAACGACCTCACCGCACGGGCCGTCACCGCAATGTTTTGTGACCTCAGAGGCTCCAATTGCCCGAGACGTCCTCGGAGGATGACACAGGTCTCAAAACCGTGCGGCCACCCCAAATCCCAACTGACCCACCACACGGTGTGCCCTGGAATCCGACGTTACGAAAAAACTGCGGCACCGTAAAAAACGTGATTGGAGCCCTAGACCCCAGCTTTCGGCGGCAATTTGTCGGGCCGAATCGTCCTGTGATGCCCCCTTTTTGTTTTATGGTGTTTTCCCCGGCCAAGTCTCATCGCAACCAAGCAAGGCTAACAATTTCTCTGGCCCGTATTCGTCTGAGGGAAAAACGCCCGCCCGAAATGACCTAGACTGGCTGTGTCACGGAATACTCCTTGCCGAGGTGGATGAAGGAAATGATGGAGACGAGGATGGTATGATGCTGATAATATGGGAACGCGCCTGGCGTGAAAAAAATAATAACGCCCAGGTCTCAGGGGGCAATCCGAGACGTGCGATATCTTGATTATTTTAATGCGCAGTCCCCGAAGGTCCCGACCCTTTCCACAGGGTTAGCATCTTATCCCGAATCGTTTTTGAAGGTCCAGAGGCCCTGCGAGGGCCCCCAGAGGCCGATGGGCAAAAAACGACCGCCGTGATTTTCGTTCACGACGCGAGCACTTTTTGAGAGCCCCCCGAAAGCAAGTCGATCCCACGCGTTTAAGGTTTCTCATCTCCCGACGGTGCCGTCGTCGTCGTCGTCGTCGTCGTCGTCGTCGTCGTCGTCGTCGTCGTCCTCGTCGTCCTCGTCGTCGTCGTCGTCGTCCTCGTCGTCGCCTCCGCCGCCGCCGCAGCCGCCGTCGTCGTCGCCGTCCTCGTCGTCGCCGCCCTCGTCGTCGTCCTCGTCGTCGCCTCCGCCGCCGCCGCCGTCGCCGTCGTCGTCGCCGTCGTCGCCGTCGCGATGCCTCGGCGAGGGGAAACCAGAAGGGCACCGATACCACCGCTCCCCGGACCTCTCCTGGGGTGCGCTCGGACCAGAACTTCGAGGGGTGGCGACGACAGAGGCCCAGCCAGGAGGACCCCAAAAAGGGGGAAACGAGGGGAGGGGAGGGGTAATTTCTGGGTACCTCTTCCCGCCCCTGAGGGCGAGGCCTGAGCTGCTGCGCACCGCCGAGCTGCCCGGACTGCCCGGCTCGGAGCTGGCGTCCCGCTTCGGCGAGCGGCCGCCCGCCAGCGCGCTCTTCAGAGGCGGGCGAAGGCCCGCGGCCCGGCTGGCCGCCCCACGACGTGCCCGCAGGCGCGGCCGGCGCCGCAAGGCCCCATGCTCTGTCCCAACAAGAGGAGGAGGAGGGGGAGGGAGGAGGAGGAGGAGGAGGAGGAGGAGGAGGAGGAGGAGGAGGAGGAGGAGGAGGAGGAGGAGGAGAAGGAGGAGGAGGAGGAGGAGGAGGAGGAGCAGGAGGAGGAGGAGAAGAGAGAGAAGAGCAGGAGCAGGAGCAGGAGCAGGAGGAGGAGGAGGAGGAGGAGCGTTCCGCACTTTCTGCCTTTTCCCCAACCGTCCTGTGGTGTTGGGTCCCCGTTTGAAAGAGGCAGCGCCCCGCGTTCCCTCCCCTCCCGCCCTGCCTCCCTGCCTCCGCCCTGCGCATGTCCACGGCTTCCGCGCACCCCGTGCAGCGAGTCGTGGCCCCACAGGGAGCTCCGCCGAAGGCCCCAGAGGGTCAAGAGCGTTCAGCACTGTGCTTTTTGCCGAGGCTGGCGAGCCACTGCTCGTGCACGCGATATGGTTACCATGGTCAGACGCAGGGTCATGCGGCAAGGAGTGCCCCAGGCAGCCACCTCGCTTCCGAGACTCCGCATGCAAGGGTCTGTCGATCAGGCACGCCTGTCTTCGGAAACGCGGAATGCAGCGACACGGTGCCATCGAGAACGTTCAAGACCCAGACATCATCGCGCAAGGAAGAAAAAACACGCTGGGCGGCTTCGAGCCGTTTTCGGCCTCCGGGGGCCCCTCGCTCGGCATCAGGGCCGTCTGGGGATGTCCAAACTAATAAGGATCCATCGTTCTGTTCGCATGGACGCAGGGGGGGAGGAAGGATGAAGGAGGAGGGAAGAGGGAGGAAGAAGAATGGAGGGAGAAGGAACTACGAGGGAGGAGGAAGGAGAAAGGAGGAAGAAGGAAGGAGGAATAATAAAGGAGAAGGGAGGAAATAGGAGGCAAGAGACGGGGCGGGGGGAGGGAGGAAGGCCCAGCCGTCAAAAAACAAACGACTCGGGATGAACAACCGGCCCTGGGGAAGAGCTCGGGGCTTCAGGGGGCCGCGCAGGGAAAACAGAAACGAACGAAACAAATCAAGACATCGCATGTCTGGGGATGGAGGTCCGACCTCCATTCTCAAGCTTTCGTCCTTCCTTCGGGTCGCTCTGTGCCTCCAAGTGTGGAGGCTGGACCTCCCCAAGATATGGATGGCGATCCTGCGGGGTGCGCCACTTCGCGCGCGCCCTTGCGCGCGAACGCGCGCCGCGCGCTGCTCGGCTGCCTGCGAGCACGCGCGCACGCGCGCGCACGCGCGCGCACGCGCGGCTGCCTGCGCGCGCGCGCGAACGTGCGCGGGCGCAGACGAGCAGCGCGTCTTGCGCGCGCTCGCGCGCAAGGCGCACGCGCGGGCGGCCGCGGCTGGCGCGTGCCTTGGCAACCCTGCGGCGCGTAGACCTCCAACGCCGGGCGCCCTCGGAGGGCCTCCGAGGGTCCCCCCCAACAAAAAACATCGGCCCTCGAGGCCGCCAGCCTCGAACAGTTTGACTCTCGAACAGCTCGACCCTCGAGCAGGTCCATCCTCGAGCATTCCGATCCTCCAGAATGCGCCCACAATTGGTCCCTGGACCCCTCTCGAGGCTCATCCTGGCCAGTCCTTCATCCCGCGGATCGATCCCTGACGGCACCAGTGCCCGAAACAGGGTCCAAGGTGTGGGACAAGACATTCGAACCTCGACTCTCGTCAACCCAGACTCCAATGCAGTCAGCCAGACTTCTTGGACTCATATCCCCCAAAGAAAGGAAGCGGAAGAGAGCGAGAGAAAGAGGATGTGAGGAGGAGGAGGCGGAGGGGGGCAATGGGAGAGAGAGGGAGGAGGATGACTAGTGCAAACCCAAAATTCATCAACGATGTTTCAATAAATCCTCCAGGCTCCCTCTTCACAGGCCCCTACAAGAATTACTATAATTCATTTTCACTGAAGGAAGTGCCCCGTTGAAAAACAATCCTTTGAAAATCCTGAACAGTGCCAGAACACCAGTCCTGGGACTTCAACGCTACGAGCCACCGTCACTGCTGCGTCTTGACGACCCTGAGTCGTGCCAGAACGCCCTTCCTCAGACTTCAACGCAACGGATCAACGCAAGTGTTGCGCCCTCAATCCAACATCGTGCCAAAACACCTTTTCTGGGACGTTCACACGAAAATCCCTGAAATTGCTGCAAACTCTTAAAATGAAAGTGCGCGGCGCTACTGCGAGAACCACATTTTGAAAAAGAGTCGCCTTCCATCCGTAAAGCTATGATATTTTGTACTACGAATGTGTGCGGCGCGAATGTGAAAATAGTATTCCCCAATCAGAGCTTGCCTACAAGAGGATTCACATGGTTAGGTGGGGTTTGTCACCGATTCCCGCGGCCCGCCCGTGTGCCCGGGTGCCCAGGTGCCTCATAGCCCTGTAGCCCTATAGCCCGATAGACTTACAGCCCCATAGCCCAACAGCCCTATAGCCCTGTAGCTCTATAGCCCTATAGCCTTATAGCCTTATAGCTCTACAGCCCTATAGTCCTATCTCCCTAGAGCCCTATAGCTCTATAGCCCTATAGCCCTATAGCCCCATAGCCCTATATCCCTATAGCCCTATAGCCCAATAGCCCTATAGCCCCATAGCCCTATAGCCCTGTATCCCAATAACACTATAGCACTATAGCCCTATAGCCCTATAGCCCTATAGCCTTATACCCTTTTAGCCCTATAGCCCTATATACCTCTATATGCCTACAGCCCTATAGCACTGTAGCCCCATAGCCCGATATCCCTATAGCCCCATGGTCATATGGCCCTTTAGCCCCATAACCCTATAGGTTCATAGCCCCATGGCCCTATAGCCCAATAGCCTCATAGACCTATAGCCTCACAACCCTATAGCCCTATGGCCTTATAGCCCTATAGCCCTATGGCCCTACAGCCCTATAGTTCCATAGCCTTATCACCCTATAGCCTAATAGCTCGCCCTATAGCCCAATAGCCCCATAGCCCTATAGCCTTAAAAGACGTTGATGGTTTTTCTACCGTATTACTTTGTACTACGAATGCGTGCGGCACGAATGCGAAAACCACATTTGAAAAGCGGCCCGCCCTCGATCCGTAAAACTGTTGCAAGTTGTAATGACGAATGCGAGCGGCGCTAAAGCGAGAGCCGCATGCTGAAAACGACCTGTCCTCAATTCGCCAAGATCTTGCCAATTTTCAAAGCAGAAGATGTGCGCGGCGCTAAGGCGAGAACCACATTTTGAAAACGACCTGTCCTGAATTCGTCAAACTCTTGCAAATGTTTGAAGCGGATGCGCGCGGCGCCAAGGCGAGAGCCACAGTATGAAAACCACCCGCCCTCCATCCGTGAAACGGTTGCACAATTTAAGCTTCAGGGTCATACATGGCGAGGAGAACTCAAGCGACTCGCCCGGCCCGCCCTTCCGACTGGCATCCAGGTGCGACAGGGAGGAAACAGTCATGCAGTCATGAGGAAAATGCGTGGAGGAGGAGGAGGAGGAGGAGGAGGAGGGGGAGGAGGAGGAGGCAGTGGAGGAGGAGGAGGAGGAGGAAGAGGAGGAGGGGGAGGAGGTGGATGAGGAGGAGGAGGAGGAAGAGGGAGGAGGAAGAGGGAGAAGGCGGTAGAGGAGGAGGAGGAGCGATCCCCAACACGCCCCCCTGTGGTGAACTGGAGACGACCCCCGAGCCCCGACGGCGCCGGGGGGCGCGGGGCTGCCAGCCCGGGCCGCGGGCTCCAGATGGGATCGGCGGCCCCCGCGCGCGGCTCCTGCGGGTGGGGCTTGCCAAGTTGTCAGTGCCACCTTCACTGCCACCTCCTCCTCCAACTCCTCCTCCTCCTCCTCCTCCTCCTCCACCTCCTCCTCCTCCTCCTCTCCTCCTCATCCTCCTCATCCTCATTCTCATCCTCATCCTCATCCTCCCTCCCTCCCTACCTACCTCCTCCTCCTCCCTCCCTGCCTCCCTCCCCTGCCTCCCTCCCTCCCTCCCTCCCTCCCTCCCTCCCTCTCTCCCTCCCCCCCTCCTCCTCCTCCTTTCTCCTCCTCCCTCCCTCCCTCCCTCCTCCCGCCCTCCCTCCCTCCTCCCTCCCTCCCTCCCCCTCCCTCCCCCTCCCTCCCTCCTCCCTCCCCTCCCCGCCATTCCCCTCCACAATGATACAATATGAATGCTGCTCTCCCTGATGACGTCCGGAAGATATCCGGCCCCCCTCCGCGTATTGTCCTTTTACACACAGGATTCCCAGGATCTGGGTTTTCCCTTGGTTTTTGTTGTCCAAAATGTTGATCCCGCTGAAGCGCTGGCCTCACTTTCGGGCTTCCACTCGTTCCGAATCGTGCTCCCGCTACAGCGTTGCGTTGCCATCATTTCTGCGCTTCCGCTCGTTCCGAATCGTGTTCCCGCTGCAGCGCTGGCCTCATTTCTTGGTTTCCATATGTTTTCTGACAATCCGACTCTCTTCGGTCCTTCAAAATGTTGCTCCCGCTGCAGCGCTGGCCCCATTTCTGCGCCTCTGGTTCCAAAACGTGCTCCCGCTGCAGCGCGAGCTTTTTCGGTCCTTCCATAAATAGGCCCCAAATCTAAAAAAAGAAAAAAAAAAAAAAAAAAAACTCCAGAAACAAACCATCGCAAGTGATTACACATCTGGTGTCGATTAGTTTAGTCTTTGGGCCGCAAAGGCCCCCCCCTCCCCCCCACTTCGGGGCGGCGTCGTTTGGAGGAAGTATCAAGCGGGAGCTCTGTTTCTGCTTTCAGAAGGCGATGTTGCAAGCAGAGCCAGCGGGTGCTCTCCATCAGCCCCGCCTTGTGGGGAGCTTTTCGGGGAGCCCAGTGAGGTAAACATGGAGCCGCGACTCCAGATCCAATCACCCTCCAAGGAACCCGGCCCCCTGCCATGACATGCTGTGCGGTGTTCTTTTCTGCGCCGCTGTGCGATGCCATGCTTTGCGTTGCAATGCTTTGTGATGCAATGCTTCACTGCGCAATGCCACGCCATGCTATGACATTATACGCTCTGCCGTGCTCTTCTACGCCATGCCGTGCCGTGCTCTACGATGCATCGCGCACCCCCTCGCGATCATTGCCCTGCTCGACATCCAACTGTTCGAATAGAGAAGAGATCTACGCAATGGTAAGGGATGGGAGGGAGGGGTAGGACGTCAGACATGACGCGAGCGCACCTAGCTTGCCTCCCCTCCCCTCCCTCCCTCCCTCCCTCCCTCCCTCCCTCCCTCCCTCCCTCTCCTCCTCCTCCTCCTCCTCCTCCTCCTCCTCCTTCTCCTGCGCATGCAGGAGGCGCTCATGAGATCCCCACGAGAGCCTTCACCAGCCGAAACCTCGGGAGAGCACCCATCAGGACGTCCTTTTTGGCACCTCCGACTGGGGGCGACACCCAATCGGAGAGCCAGCAACAGGGTGCTCTCCTCCTCCTCCTCCTCCTCCTCCTCTCCTCCTCTCCTCCTCCTCCTCTTCTTCCTCCTCTCCTCCTCCATCTTCATCTCTTCCTCCTCTCCTCCTCCGCCTCCTCCTCCTCCTCCTTCCTTCCTCCTTCTCCTCCTCCTCCTCCTCCATCTCCTACCTCCGTCTCCTCCATCTCCTCCGTCTCCTCCATCTTCTACCTCCGTCTCCTCCCTCCCTCCTCCTCCTCCTCCCTCCCTCCTCCCTTTCTCTCGCCCCTTGTCCCTGCTCCATCCTGACTCCTCCCTCCCTTCCTCCCTCCTCCTCATCCCTCCCTCGCTCCCTCCCTTCCTCCTGGGAGAGGGAGGGAGGAGGAGGGAGGAGGAGGGATGAGGGAGGAGGAGGGAGGAGCGCCAGTACCAGCCGTGGCAACGAGAAGCCTCCCGAAGGCCCGAACAAGGCTGAGGGCAACACACGCTCAAAATCCTGCAGGGGGGTGACAGGGGGGACCAGCTGATGGAGGGGAAGCATCGACCTGGAATCGGCGATGCATCGCCGATAGATCGGCGACAGGCTGCCGATAGCGAAGCCGCACGGTCCTGGGCGGAGTGGGGCTGTCGGGCCCGCCATCGGCGATCAGTGTGCGATCGGGGGTCGATGCATCCCCCGCTGGACCTGCCTGCCCCGCACGCTGCCCCATCAGTATCGGACCACGACCCGGCTCCCCGCGGCCGTTCGGGAGGAGCCGGGCCCCCCCGGAACCGGCTCGGCGCGGCGCAGCCGCTGGAGAGCAGTCCAAGGCTGGAGAGCCGCCGAGAACCAACGACAACGCACGAAAGCCTGGAGCCTCGAAGCCCATATCCCCCCCCTGTCGTTGTCCCTGATCTTCTCGAGCCTCGGTGCTCGAAGCTGCCGTCGCCCTTGCAGGGCAATGCGCCCCCGCCATCGCTCTTGAAGGGAGGGGCGCCCCTCCTGCTCCTCCTCCTCCTCCTCCTCCTCCTCCTCCTCCTCCTCCTCACTATCATGCTGCTGCTGCTGCTGCTGCTGCTCCTCCTCCTCCTCCTCCATTATTTTCCCTTGTTGCCAAGAACTCCTCAATGTCGCACCCGAGACGTGTCGGTAGGGCAGGCCAAGCGTTTCGCATGAGACTTCCTCACCAGTTATGACCCTTGATCTCAACAGTTGCAACAACTTCACGGATGGAGGGCGGGTCGCTTTCACCATGAGGCTCTCGCCGTAGCGCCGGGAGCATTCGTTTTTAAACATTGGCAACGAAAGTTTGACGGATGGAGGGCGCGTCGTTTTCGAAATGTGGCTCTCGCATTCGCGCCAAGCACATTCGTCTAAACAAAATGCAAGATCTTCACGGATGGAGGGCGGTCCACTTTCAAAACAATGTGGCTCTCGCCGTAGCGACGCGCACATTCGTCTTACAAGAACTGCAAGAGCTTCACGGGTGGAGGGGGTGTACCTTTTCAAAATGTGACTCTCGCCTAGGGCCTAAGCGCCGCGCGCATCCGTTTTGAGAGTTCACAGCTGTTCTCAGACATGGTATTTTGGAACGATGGAGGACTGCAAGGGCGCGACAGCTCCGTTGATTCGTGGCATTGAGATACGAAAAAAAAACTGCGTTCTGGCACGATTCAGGGTCGCCAAGACGCAACAATAACAATGCTTCGCGGCGTTGAAATTCCAGGAACGGTGTTCTGGCACAGTTCTGGATTTTCAAACGGCTGTATTCCAACGGGGCACGTCCCTCAATGAACGTGAACCCTAGAAAGGGACCTATGAAGAGGGAACTTGGAAGGAGGGTTTATTCCACTACCGTTGATGAGCCTTGGGCTTGCAATGGTCCTCCTCCTCCTCCGCCCCATCCTCCTCCCCGCCCGCCCGCCCGCCCTCCCTCCCTCCCTCTCCCTCCTCCATCTCGTCCCTCTTCCCTGCTTCCCCTCCTCCCTCCCTCCCTCCCGCCCTCCCTCCCTTGCGCCCTCGGTCCTCGAAGTCGCTGTCGCTCTTGCAGGGTGAGGCGCCGCCGCCGCCGCTCTTTGAGGGCGAGGCGCCCCGAGACCCGCTGGCGAACCAGCAGCAGCCGCCGCCATCGCGCGAGTGCGCCTGCGAGGGCGCACACAAACTGTTGGCCAGTCCCGATCACGGCTCCCTCCTCTGAGCTGCCTCCCCCTTCATCATCACCCCACCTTCCTCCTTGCCTCCAAGTCTCTCCTTCTCTCTCTCTCTCTCTGCCGGAACGCAGCTGGGGGGCTACATCACGGCTCCCGGCTCCCCCCTCTGTTCTCCCCTTCCTTTATCATTCCACCTCCCTCCTCGCCTCCAGCTCTCTCTTCATTCTCTCGCTGCTGGAACGCATCCCGAGGCAAGAAATCATCCGAGGCTGAGGTGGTAGGGCGGGAATATCCGCCCTCCGTTTCAGGCTCATTTGATATCGATGCCCGTCTTACTTGTCCGTCGCTGTTTCTGCGCTACGTTTGCGGGAAGAGTTGTGGGTAATTATTTTTGCATAGTTGTGGGGTGTTTCACGAAGTTGTGGAATGTATGCTGAAATTGTGGAGCTGTCCACAAACGTGGGGCAGACCTGCCCGCCTTACCCCGCATCCTACGGCAAGCCATTCCAACACGATCGAGATCCTCCCAAATCGTAACATCAACCAGAGCACGGCGGATCCGGAGTCAGGGCTGGGGGCCGGAGGTGGCCCAGCACTGGTTCCGGCCAGCCTACTCAGAAGAGAAGGAGGAAAGATGTCCCCCCCGTCGCCACGGCTGGGCTCGCCTCGAAACACTATACCTAAATACGCGATGTTGTGTGCCAAATGCTGTTGCGAACGGCCGACCCGGTTATGCCTGTTCCCCCGAACCAGAATCGCTTTTGTGTGCGAGAAGAAACAAAACAAAAAACACGAACAGGCGCGAACCAAAACCGGAGGCTGCCAATCCCCTTCAGAAACTGAGCCAGCTTTCCGGCAAGTTGGTGAAGAAACGCTGGGCCAGCTTTTCGGGGGAGGTCTCTGAATCAGAAGCGGGACCGTAATCAGTTTCGCCCCTGGGAGGGGTCTGGGGACCGACCTTGCGCGGACTTGCAATGGACAACATAAAAATCCTATCATTAATTAAGATGTGTTTCGAATGCCGGAATATCCACTAAAAAATGATCAAAACATTGCTTGGAACATGTGCAAGGCATGTTTCAAATATGTGGTAGACATCTGGAAAGTACTTGGCAACATGCTTCCTCTCCAGCGATCGTCGTCCACAATCTTAGAGGGCCGCCCCCCCGCGCCCCGATGGGTGGACGAAAAAATGCAAGTTGTTCGTGGACACATGCGGCTGCACATGGACTGCGTCAAGATCTCGACGCCCCCCCCTGCCCCCTACATGTCAATGTTGGTGTCGGTGAGGCATCCCCCGCCCTGGAGAACAAAATTATGCAAGTCAACATTGAAATGCGGGGGTGAGGGGGCTCCTCAGAGGTCGAGAGAATCTGATTCAAATCAGCACACTGCTTCCCAGAGCGTTCGAAAGACTTGCACTATCTTGTCCACCGACTGCCCCCCCCCCCCTTGGGCGCCCCACGGGGCACCGAGTGTGCGGCGTCCGTCGTGGCCTCGACGAGGTCTGCGCGGGAGATCACCCCGCAGTACGTGCCGCGCTGCGAGACGATGCACACGGCGCCGGACCCGGCCCTCGATCGGGGAGACGTACCCAGAGATCCAACGCATAGAGAAAATCGAGGCGGAGGTTTTTCGCAATGTTCGGCCTCCAGGGGCCCTCGCCGGGCCCTGGACAGTCAACAAACGATTCAGGATGAAAAACCGGTCCAGGAAAATCGGTCGAGACTTCCGGGGACCCCGCATTGAAGACATCACGACATCGGATCTCTGGGTAAGACTTGGGTTCCAGGGACTCGGTTTGGCCTGACGGGGCCATCATGAAAACGCAAGCCTAGTCTGCGATCTGACGCGAGCTCCCGCTGCAAACTTCCCACGAAAGCTGGACCGTCAAGATCCAGGACGCGCTCGTCAAGAAGCGTCGGCAAACCCGAGTTCCGGCGTACTCTCGATTCTAACGTCTCCTCGACGCAGCGCGGCCGGGACGAACGAAGACGAAAGCAGGACCAGCCCAAACTCGGGGGAGGACACATCGTGATCCTCTGAGGACCAGCCGCGACCAGCTCCAGAGCGCTCCAGAGCGATGCATCCTTATCCTACAGTGGGGGCCAGTCCACAAGAAATCTTTCACAAGAAACCCATTCCTGAGACCCCAGGACGTCGATTGACTTTTGGTGTGGGAGCATCGCGCCCTCCATCGCAAAACCATCGAAACCCAAGAAACCCAGGGCACCCTGGAGGCAAGCAAGGTATTTCTTGGCATGGGCCCCAGACACATGTCCACGTCTCTGGCCTCGCGCGGAGACCGGACTCCTCGGCCGCCACCCGATGGAAGAAGAACCCAGACACCATACTTCTCTCGCAGGCATTTTTCGAGCCGGGTCGATCTGTGATGGTCCCAGGGCGCGAAGCCCGGCGAGAACGCTAGGTGTGAAAAAAATGCAACGCCTGGAGCTCGGAGGTCGCGCCTCGGCATCCCAATCAGGAGAGGGCATAGATATGGACGCACCCGACGCCCGTGGCCTCGTGAAGAGCTGATAGAAGCACGCCACCGGAGCGTCTCTCAGCACCGTGTACGGGACCGGGTCCATGATGTCGCCGACCAAAACGCTTACGTCCTCCACGTGGGGCCCACCGGGCGAGTCGCTCAGCGCCTTCGTCATCAGCATGGCGCGGTTGAAGGTCTCCGATCCAGTGGGGCTCCTTTCGGCGACTCCGAAGGGGGTGTGGCTCGGGAAGGATGCGGTCTGCAACCCGCCCCATTGTGGGACGGGCGAGGGTCTCGACGGAGTGCTCCGCCGTGCCCCGACGAGGGCAACGTGGTGCTCCTCCAAGCCCCGACGACGCAGATCGCAAACCACACCCAGGACTGCCCACACCCCTTTGTACTTGGACAAGCGCGTTCCACTACTCGCAAATGAACTGCTCGCAAATGGCTTAGATCCGCCGCGGGGGATTTACGATATAATACATAGAGAAAGACCTGTTTTTTGTTCGGCCGTTTGCGAGTAGGCACTTTGCGAGTAGTGGAGTGCGCTCGGCGAGTAGTCGCCAGTCCTCGCGCCCGTGGCCCCGCGGGGTACGGAGGATGACGGATCCTGGATGCTGCCCCACATGGCCTCCATCAGCCTCGCGCGCGGCACGAGTCCTGAGGGACCACTGTGATCCAGGCGACGGAAGCAATTGAACAACACTCATGCAGAACATATGGTTTGAACTCCCCCCCCAAAATGCAGTGTTGGTTTCGGATCTTCCGATTTGGGGCCTCCGAGTGGTCTTCAAGGAACGTGCCAACTTTGAATTGAGGGAAGGGGGGAGTGTTGAATAATTTCTTCCCTCAACCGTCTGAGGGCGTTGGGTGACCACCCACACCTCCAACGTGTTGAAAACATCGAGACGACGGTTGTTCGTCGTTTTCGGCGTGTCTGGGGGCCCTAGCCAGGCCCTGGGGCAATCAACAAAACGACCAAAGATGAAAAACATGTCCCCGGGAAGTGATACAGAATTATGAGGACCCTTCCTTGAAAAAAACAACACCTCCCCTGACTCCAAATCCACTGTACTTTGGTTGACTTTCTGATTTAACATTGTGGCGGACATGCATCCCAAATGCGTGCACAAAAAGTGAAGCGGAAATTTCCGCCTCGGAAAAATAAGGCCGAATTGTGGGGAACATGTCCGCAAAACTGTCCACTAAGTAGGGAGGACATCCATAAAAGTAGAGCGGAAACAGTGATGGAGAAGCGAGACGGACATCGTCATCAACGGAGCCTGAAAGGTAAGGCGGAAATGTCTGCCATTCTTGCGAAATCGTCCGAAGTACGGCAGGCCCCCCGCTCTGCGCCTCGCAGGCCCCCGTGGTCTCGGCGCTTCTGCCCGTCCTTGTGCCTGCTCGCCCGCCATCCACTGGCGCCCTCAGCTCCGTGCCGCTCCCCCGAGTGGCTCCGATCCTGGGTCGCGATTCTCCGTCGTTCGCTGGGCTCCGGTGCCGCCTTTCGGGGCGCTCTCGTGCCTGCCCGCCTCTGCCTCTCGCCTTCCGCCGCGCCTCGTAGGCCCGCAGGTCTCGGCGCTGTGACTCACCCCTGGGGCCGCGTCCTACCGGTTCTTTGGGGCGGGTCTCTGCTACGCATGTGGTGCTCCCCCACCTGCAGCTCAGTGCTGGCGCTGGTTCCCCCTACGGCGCTGCCCCTGCCGCAGCCGGTGACTTGCCTGAGTGGGCCCAGCTTCCTCTCTCCCTGTCGCGCCGGGGCTCCTTCTCCTCCCTCGTGCATCGCGGCTTTAATTTGCATGCAATGTGTCCCCTGTTGCCTGTCCGCCGGAGCAGTCGCCCTCTGCCCAGCCGCCGACGCAAAAAGTGTGAGTGTGTGTGTGTGTGGTGTGTGTGGTGTGTGTGTGGTGTGTGTGTGTGAATGTGTGTGTGTGTGTGTGTGTGTCCCCCTTTGCCCGGGCCGAGGGTCCGAGGCAGACCCCGTCGGCGACCACGGGGAAGTACGCGATCCTGTCCTGCCTCAGGGCCCGTATCACGGTCGAGAGGGGCGCCTGGACTGGCAGCTCCTCCGGCTCGTTGCACGTGCCCCGGAGCTCTTCGACCCGCAACTGGAGCGACTCCGCGGTGACGTCCGCGCCGCTGAGGACGTTGGGCAGCGTCGGGTCCAGGAAGGCGATGCCCTTCTTCAGCACCATCTCGTCGGTGAAGTCGTGGGAGGCGACGAGGCGCGAGACGCACTGGGACGTGAAGATGCCAAGCATCAGGGGCAGCATCGCGCTCAGGTCACGCGTGGCCTCTGCGAGAACTTGATTTGTTCCCCAAAGGGTGAGTGCTTGCACTTGGGGGCTCGTACTTCGATAACAAAGGCATTGGGTCGGTCTGGCGAGGTTTCGCAACGTTGCCGCCCGTTGCCGCCTCGATGCCGCCTCGTGACGTGGGTAGGTCGGGCCACCTCGTTGCCGCCTCGTGCGCTGGGAGGGTCCAGCGGGGTTTCGCCACGTTGCCGCCTGTTGCCGCCTCATTGCCGCGTGTAGCTTGCACCACGTATACTGCACCACATGGCTTACACTCCATAGCTTGCACCACACCGCTTGTGCACAGCCACGGCGCAAGAACTTACTGCTTGGGGCCCACGCTGGCTAACATCCCTGAGATCCGACGCTGCAACAAAAAATGCAACATCGCAAAAAATCACGCCCGGGCCCCCGGACCCCATCTTCCTGCGCCATTGCGCGAGATGGCTCGATCTGTGAGGGCCCCGGGGCCCGAAATCGAGCGGGAACGCCCGCTGCGAAAAAAGTGCAGCGCCAGGACCTCAGGGCTTGCTGATGCCTTGTTGCCCTGCCCCCTCGCGGCGCGGCCTCGACGAGGAGCATGACGATCGCGATCGTCATGCGGGTGAAGCCGCTGAGCATGGCCGCGCTCCCCACCAGGGCGTACAGCCCCGGGTGGGAGGTGCCCCGGCCCACCTCCGCGGCGAGCGGGCGGAGAGGACTGCAGGGGCCCAAGGACACACAGATGCACAGATACACGCACACGCACACACAACTCCCAGGATTCTCCATAGTTTCCAAGATTTTTCCTGGCGCTTCGTCCTCCCCCCCCGCGCCTCCCATGCTTTCCCATATTTTCCGAGGGATCGACGATTCAGTGTGTCTGTGCGCTTCTTCCCCTCCTGAAGGACCCACAATGACCCCCCCTGCCCCCGACGGCGGGGCCCCCGCGGACGTCCCCGGCAAGCGGCCGGGACAGAGGACGGGGGCGAGGACACGGTGAAGTCCAGATGATTTCCCACAGGCAGAGGGCTCTTCCAACTTTAGTCATAGTCCTCTTCCTCCTCCTCCTCCTCCTCCTCCTCCTCCTCCTCCTCCTCCTCCTCGTCCGAAAACCCCCCCTCCCACTCCTCCTCCTCCTCCTCCTCCCTCCCTCCTCCTCCCCTCCTCCTCCCCCTCTCCTCCTCCTCCTCCTCCTCCGCCCTCCTCCTCCGCCCTCCTCCTCCGCCCTCCTCCTCCTCCTCCTCCTCCTCCTCCTCCTCCTCCTCCTCCTCCTCTCACTCCCGAGGAAGCCCACTCGAGTGTGCGAGCCGCGGCCCCTGAGCGCTGGCCCAAGCCGCCTCGCGCCAGATAGCTTCGGGGGTGAAGGTTTCGCGGGCATTCGAGGCCGGCGCTCGAGCGGGGGGCGTTCCCCCCCAGGTCCCACCCCCAGTCGCGGCACCCTGTCGGCAAGTCCGCCTCGACCCCGTCGTGGTCGGGGGGACCATGTTTGAGGTGTTCGGGGGGGTTTGGCGCGGTGGCGCGAGAGGGAGGCCTTCTGAGCAAAGGGGCTTTGGAATCCCTCCTGCCTTCTAAGAAGCCCTCCCTCGATCTCCGCTTTCCGCGACCTCCCGCGCGGCAGGTGTCGAGCTGCGGCCGCCGCCGTCGCAGCGGCCGAAGCGGCGGGCTCGGCGGCCGCGTCGCGGCGGCATCTGCCGCGCGGAAAGCGCTGAAGGTGAAGGGATGATGATGCTGCTGATGTTGGCAATGATGATAACGGTGATGATGAGTAGGAGGATGAGGACGAGGATGGTGATGAGAAAGTGTGGTAACATGATGGTGGTGATGACAATTATGGTGATAAGTCGTCGTCGTCGGCGGCGGCGTCGGCGTCGGCGTCGGCGTTGCGGTCGTCGTCGTCGCCGTCGTCGTCGTCGTCGTCGTCGTCGTCGTCGTCGACGGCGTCGTCGTCGTCAACATCAAAATCATCATTAGGGTCCTTAGACGCCTCCGATCCCAGTCAGGAAACACCCCGCCTTCTCAGAAAGCCGTCCACCCTCGCCCCTGCCCCCTTTTCTGCACGCCCGCCGGCCACCAGGGCCTCCCCGGTGAAGCGCCCCGCCACGGCACCGATCAACATGGTCGGCACGAACGCGCCCATGGGGATGGACAAGCCGGACACGCCCATGGCCAGGAGAAAGTACACTAGAGCGTATTTTTTCATTCCCGGCCACAACGGGCGTTATGGTGCGGGAGGGGGGGCGGGGACGGGAGGGGGCATAACGTAGCACCCCTCCGACTGTGGTGCAGGACGCACTGCGGCGGCGCTGGGGACACACTGAGGGGGGGAGCGTGAAGTTATGGGGTGGAAGGAACGGGGGGGGAGGGCAGGGGGCACAACGCGCGTTATGGCCCAACGGGTAAAAAGAAGCAGTGTCCTACGAACACGGAGCCGAGGGACCCGAGGCTGAAGTGCTCGTCCTCGTCCCGGGAGTATAGCTGCTTGATGGCGCCCTCTGCGCCCGAGAGTACCAAGGTGGCCACCTGGGCGACGAGACGGCACGGGCTTTGCGCACGACGGCACAGCGACCCCAGTGCCGCGGCCTACGCGGGCCGCTTGCGTGGCACAGACACACACACACACACACGCACGCACACTCACACACACACACACGCACACACACGCACACGCACACACACACACGCACACGCACACGCACACGCACACGCACACGCACACACACACACACACACACACACACACACACACACACACACACACACACACACACACACACACACACACACACACACACACACACACACACACACACACACACACACACACACACACACACACACACACACACACACACACACACACACACACACACACACACACACACACACTCACACACACACACACACACACACGCACACACACACACACACACACGCGCACACACACACACATCGCGCGGAGAAGAGGGTGTTCGCGCGCGACCCTGCGCGGGCAGCTTGCGCGAGAGCGTCGGCGCAGTCGACCGCCTTCTCTCGCGCCGCCTACATTTCGACTCGGTGATCGATTACAGAATTGATATACCCCAAAATTGATGTTTCCCGCCGGGTCAAGGAAACATGACCAGGATTTACAGAGTATTGTACGCGTTTTCCGTACATTCGGCGAACGAATCAATGTTGATATTAATCAATTCTGGAGTCGATCCCCTGCTCGGACCTCGCTCATGTACCCCTCGTGGCACGTGTACGGCACCCAGCTGTCCGCGTGAGCGTCGCCGCCCCCCTCGAGGCGGCGGTGGTGCGCGCCCTCGCCTCCGTGCGCCGAGCTGGTCGGCACAGGCTCGCACCCGAAGAACGCGGGCATGGTGCCGAAGACCTGGCGGGGCGAACAGATACCGATATTCATACCGAGTCGAACAAATCATGGCGGGGAATGTTTTTTGTTTTGCCAGTTCCCACTGACTTTGTGATGTTTGTTGGAGAGGTCCCACCAAAGTAGAGAATAAAGGTAACAGCCTGGGGCAGACAAGGTAGTGCTTCATACCATCTAAATCAATCGTGGGCTGGTGAGGGCAGGGGCAACCAAGAACACAACTACGAAGAGCAGCATGGAACCTAGAACTCGTACAGATACAACGGGATCAGATACGCGCGTTAGACAGAGGGATATACATACTGGCACGCATTGTAAGGGCCTTGGCCCTTGCACAAACCCGATTGATATCCAGGAGAGTAGTCCCAGGGATCCCCGCACACGCACGACGGAGAAGAGCTTCATGAGGGGGGGCGGCGAGTGCGAGATAACGTCTCAACTCTCGCATACACTGCTTCTGCACATCAGGGCGTTGGTATTCACAGGGTAAACTGCGAGCCTGGAGCTCGTCCTGAAAGCGAAAGAGATGCGCGAAGTAACTGGCGACGCACCACCCGGCGCGCTGACGATAGGGGCACCAGTCGGCACCAGCAAAGACACTTGAAATCACTGAGCGGATGCGGGGAAGTTCGCCGCAACGAGCAATATAGCAGTGTCGAGTCGCATCTGCAATTGGGGAGAGCCTGGGGAATTCAATAGGGAAGCCGTACATTGCGAGGTCGGTGCGCATGTCATAGGTGAAGGCATTGTTGGGGCCAGTGGATAGAAGTCGCAAGCGCGACGGGTAGACTCTGTCTAAGTCACGCGTGAGTTTGCGAAGCTGGAGCACGAAATGCAGATGCGAGACGCAGAGCGTTTCGACAAAGACAATGGACTGGGCCAAACCAAGCCCCAGATCACGAATTTCTCAAGAGCGCTTCCTGAGTTTGACCATGTTTTCTCTGAGTGCAACCTCTTCGGCCCGAGATCCAATCCAGATCCCGAGATATTTGAGACAAGCGTCGATTTCGACGAGGTGGCACGGGACCCCGAGGTCACTCAGCAGGTACTGAATCGGTTTACGTAGCCGCCCTTAGACCAGCGCAATATGACACGTCGTGAATTGAGCGCCAGCCCGACAGCACGACGAAGTACATTCAGGCTCTGGAAGAGGGACTCGATACCGTCAAACGGGCACCGAGCGCCAAAGCGGAAGTCGTCAGCGCGCGCCAAAGCCATAGTGAAATGCATCGGGAGTCGCGACTGCAGCCATGCCAGCACAGGTTCAAGTGCCAAGACAAAGAGACGCATAGAGCTTGGGCCCCCTTGCCGAACGCCTCTGCCGATAGGGCAAGAACCAATGGTACGACCAACCAGCTATAAATAAATAAATCAATAAATACATAAAGATAAATAAGAAGCATGTTATTCAAGTAGAGGCTCTCGAAGAAGAGAACAATGGCCGATGGGGCACCCATGGAGGCTAACACCTCGAGGGCCCAGGAGATCCTGACGGAGGGGAAGGCGGATTCAAAGTCCGCAGGGACAAGGCCACTAGAGCAGCGATCGCGGAGATGGCGAAAAAGAAGGAAACTTCCCGCATCCATCACACTGGCGAGCATGTCAAAACCACGGAAGCATTTCTGAGACGGGCTGAGCAAGCCGTACCCGGCGATCTCCCTTGTCAAAATCATCGCCATCGAAGCAGACATGAGCTTCGCGTCAGTGTTAGTCATGCTGCAAGGTCTAGTAGCCGCTGGCTCTCTATAACCCCCTTCCCCAACCTCATGCTTGCGGATTTCTTGGGATGGAAAACCACGAGACGATGTTTCATGTCCTCAGGGATGCCAGCGCGAGGGTTCTGAAGGCGACGTATCAATCAAACAGGAGCAGACCAGCAACAGGGATCATCCAGGCCGAGTGTGGAACTCCATCCTGCCCAGGCATGCCGTCTCTCCTCCCCTGGATCATGCGCATCCTCTCGTCCTCCTCCATCACCCACCTGTTTTCGCCAAGATAATTCTCATCAGCCTCGCCGGGCAAATCAGGTTCCGAACGAAATGAAGCAACTCGGGCCAGAGGGGCTCGTCGTCCTCGGTCGCTGCAAAGACTGTGTTCCAGTGTTCATGGAGAGCTTGGGTAGCCTCCCCTGCTGTCCTGCTAGCCGACGCCGAGAGAGCCCCTTCAAGCCATGTGCGCCGCTTCATATTCCGCCAAAGCTCCTTCCGAGCCACCAGCTTCCGCCGAGCATTGTCAGCGCCGTCCGAAAGATCCCCAACAGGGGCTTGATTGAGCTCGTCCTCCTCCGCAAACATGAGAGAGTTGTGGAGGCTCTGAATATGAAGACAAGAGGGCATCAATGCGAGCTTCCTGGAGGCCAGCGGGAAAGTGCTGAGCAAGAGATGGGCAATCGCCAATGGCCGCGGCAAGTTTGAGAGAGTCATCTGCGCGCCACGCACGAAGAGCTTGGAGTGCTCGAGAATGTCTGGCTTATGTGGCATCTGCTTGTTTCAGGTTGACGATACGCGCAACCCCTTCAGCAACTTCGAACATCAGGGACTTGGTCTCAACAAGTCGGTCCCACGGGCCTCCATCATAGAACATCCTGATAGCTCTTCCCTAAAGTTCAGTTAGAAGCGGGTGCCGAGTAATCCAGGGAGCAATATGCTTCGGTGCACCTTGAAACTTGAAAGTGCTGACGGACATCACAATCGGGATGTGATTCGAGACCAGGCCCGCTTTCAGGTGCCCGAGTACTTGACATTCAATTATGGTGTCGGGGCCATGGCGTATGGGATCGTACCGCATGCGCGGCCCAGCCTAGCGGCGTGGGTAGTAGTACCGTCCCTGATGTCCCTCCTCGTATCCTCACACTGGTACAGCTTAAGCCAGGAACCACGCATCCTGTGCCTTATGCCGTGTGACTGTCACCTCCAGGCGGCCATCCACTGCCATCGGTCGCCGATCAGCACGGTGAGACACTCGGCAGATCGAGGGAGGGCATGAAGGATATCACGCAGCGCGCTGGCATACATGATCGCGAGATCGCTCGTGTTAGGCATGTACGCGTTAGTGCTGCAAAAGTTCGTCTTGGGCCCAGAGAGGTTCGACTTAAGGGTGCGACCATCGGTGACAGGGGAGAGCGAGATGGAGGTGAAGAGGTTGGCGACACCAGGCTGAATACATGTAGTGGCCCCACCGACATTGGCAGACGCTGGGAATGGAGAATGGCCGATCTTAAAATGCCGAAGCCCTCGCCCGTGGGTTTCTGGAGCACAGAATACCGTAAGCTGCTTCGCGAGCTTCAGAAAACGAGCGTAACGAGGGGAGGACTTCGTACTTCGGCTCTGGACAGCGGCACAAAAGGACAAACGTATTCCAATAATCGATCTCCACCTGAGAGGACGGGAAAACGGACGGGCCCTGATCGGATCAAAAGGCAAAGACAACGGGCTCGGATCCTCAGTCGCACCAAGGAGCGGAGCACCGACAGGGAGGGCACACGACGCGGAGGGAGGCACATCTTCGGGCCAAGAGGCCGCTGGATCCGAGCAACAAACTCACTAGAAGAGCCCTCGTGGGAGACATTGAGGCTCGCAGCAGAGGGGCACAAGTTCAGTTGTGTCGATGACGTTGCACCCATAGCCTGAGGCCTGTCACCCTCCTTCCTAAAAAGGGCTGCGAAACATTCAGGTGATAGGTGATCAGTTCCTTCCTGAAAGCGCGAGAGGAGGGGAGACAGAAGGGCGTGGAATGCTGCAAACCGCTCGGGGGAGAAAAGGATGGCGATTTGCGGCTGATTTTCCTCACTGGGAACCAGCTCTAGGTGGCACAGCTGCACAGGATGACATAGACATCGCTTCCCAGACCGTTGGACCCCATGTCTTTGCCAACTTGCTGCGTTGGTATAGCAATCAACCGCGAACCTTCCCCATTGCAAGGAAGAGCATGCGGGTACCTGGTTAAAGGTCACGCTTGGCACGAAGGATAATCTGCTTCTGCGGGTAAATCGGGTCGGGGAAAGCAACTGGTGCTTGGGAGCGGATCGTAGTGACAAAATCTGAGGCCTTGGTCGAATCCGCAAAATCGAGGACGACCTTCTTTGGCAATGTCATAGGCGCGAACAATGGGCCGCGGACGGTCCCGTGGGATGTCAGCCATGATGAACATATCAGCCGCACGCTTGATGGAGGTCTGCATCATCTCCCGAGGAAAACCAACAGTGGCAATACGGTGAGCACGCTCCATGGCTGCCTGCCTGGACTCGAGCGACCGCGGGGGACGCCGTGTAGAAGCCGAGCGTGGGGTAGGGGGACACTTGAGCTCGGAATGGGACTCAATCTGCTTCGATACGTTGGCCACCCGCAGGTCGACCGCCTCTTGGACAGCGTGGGCGATGGTGGCGGCAGTGCCATGCTCGATCTCCGTGAGGCGGGCGTTGAGGCTCTGGAAGCTCGGGTCGTGAATATAAAGCGTGGTGGAAACGGTGTTCATCTCGGACCCAAAAACCCGCCCCGGATTGCAGATTCGCTGGCTCGTTTCTGGAGTGTTCCCGATGAGAGTATTCATCCGGCTCGGTGGCCTGCCAGGTGCGGGGGAGAGCGAGGCTGCACGACTGCGGCTGGGACGTGTCCTCGAGGGACTGATAACGCACCCGGACGGGCTGCCACGGGTCATCGATCGGCGAGGTGTAGGGTTGGGTCGGGACTGTCTCCTTACAGGCGGGTTTTGGGCGAACAAGTTAAACCTCTCAAAACAATATTCCAACGATTCATAAATAGTCAAAAATCGTGCCGAAACTGTTTTTTTCATCCTTGGGAATATTCCTCCTGAAGAGGGACAGTCCCGACTTAAGGGTCCTCTAGGGGCTGATAACGCACCTGGACGGGCTGCCACGGGTCATCGATCGGCGAGGTGTAGGGTTGGGTCGGGACTGTCCCCCTACAGGAGGCGGATTTTGGACGAACAAATAAAACTACTCAAACAATATTCCACAAATATTCAAAAAGGATCATAAACGCGTCCCAAAGCTGTTTTTCCTCTTTGGGAATATTCCTTCTGTAGAGGGACAGGCCCGACTTAAGTGTCCTCGAGGGGCTGATAATGCACCTGGACGGGCTGCCACGGGTCATCGATCGGCGAGGTGTAGGGTTAGGTCGGGCCTGTCCCCCTACAGGCGGATTTTGGATGACAAATAGAAAATACTCAAACACTGTTCCACAAATATTCAAACATGAATTTCTAAAAAATCGTCCCCAGACTATTTTGGTTACCCATTCGGGAAGATTTCTCCTGTAGAGGGGCAGGCCTGATTTAAGTGCGGGGCCTGGCGAAGACGGACCACCGCGCTTCCTGGAGCGGCGGTCCTCCGCACGAGATCGGCCTGCTTCGTGCCTCCCTCTGCAGCGTGGCAGCAGACTGCGGACAGACGGGGGTGGCGCGCGTGATGGTTGAGAATCGGCGGGGACGAGAGGGAGGGATAGCAAAGGGTAGTCCCTACCCTTTGCCATCTCCCCCCTTCCCCCTCCTCCTCCTCCTCCTCCTCCTCCTCTTCCTCCTCCTCCTCCTCCTCCACTCCTCCTCCTCCTCCTCCTCCTCCTCCTCCTCCTCCTCCTCCTCCTCCTCCTCCTCCTCCTCGGTAGATAATCAGCTCACGTAGCTGATTTTCCCAACGCCTCCCGGCGACGAGAGGCGCCCATGTATCGCGGAATGGGCCCGGTGGCGGGGCCGAAACCAGCTGCACGCAGCGGATTCCGTAACCCCCCCTTTCCCTACCCCCCCCTCTCGTTCGGCCCGAGAGAAGGTTGGGGCAAAATGCCTATCAAGAAAGTCTCCTGTCGACTGGCCGCTGCCTTAGGCCAGCCCCTTGGCTATGTTTCAAACTGAAGCCGCGGGGTGACGGTTTCAGCTTGAGCCAAAATGGCTACGGAAAACATCAAGACGGGGAATGTTTTGGGATCCCAAGACTCAAGGTTATCGGACGCCTTCGTCGGTTCTCCGCGGCTTTCCAGCCTCGGGGTGCCTTCCAGCAGCTGTGCCTCGCCGGGAGCGTTCTGGGGGTGCCCGGATCGTCCCGAGCGGCCGCCGGAAGCTCAAATTCTGGCCCGAAGACCACCCGGAGCCCAGACCTCCACCGCTTTGTCAAAAATCAAGACGGGAGTTTTTCGCTGTCTTCGGCGTCTGGGGCGGACCACAAGGGAACGAAAAACTGGCCGCGGGGAAGAGGCTCAGAGCGCTGGGGACCCCGCATCTGTCAAGCATCAAAGCATCGGAGGTCTGTGCACCGCTGCTCCCTGGGCCCCTCCCCGGGACGCGTTCTGTCCAGGAGTTCGAGGCGAGTCCAGCCGAGGGGGCGGGGGGCCGGGGCGGCGAAGGCATCCTCACGCCCTCCGGTGACCAGGGCGCAGAGGGCCGTGTACAGCAGCGCGTCCCACAGCTTCGGGTAGGGCTGGTACCTCTCCAGCACGCGCGACCCCTGCAGCCAGCGGCGCAGCTGCCAGGTGCCCACCATGCCCTTCGTGAAGATGGCGGAACACAGGCCACACACCACGGACAGCACGATGAAGTACGGCACGTCGATCCAGGCCCACCTGAGGGGCAAGGTGGGGGGGGGGACCAGAACATCGACCTGGAATCGGCGATGCATCGCCGATAGATCGGCGACAGGCCCCCGATAGCGAATCCGCACGCTCCTGGGCAGGGTGAGGGAATCGGAACGCCCCGTCTTAGGTCGGGCCTGTCCCCCTACAGGGGGATTTTGGCCGAAAAATTTAAAACTGTCACAACAAAATACCCCAACTATACCCAAAAGTATTCAAAAAATCGTCCCCTGACTATTTTTTCAATTTTTGAATATTCCTCCTGTAGAAGGACGTGCCCGACTCAAGAATAAGCGATGGGGGGTCGGTGCGGCCTCCACTGAGCCTAACTATCCCACCCCCCAGCGTTGCCCCTGCTCACCTCATCGAGGAGATGGCCTCCTCGTTCCACAGGACAAGCCTGTGATGGGCCTGTTTTCCACCACCACCACCACCATAAGTTGGAGGGGGAGGGGGTCCTCCTCCTCCTCCTCCTCCTCCTCCTCCTCCTCCTCCTCCTCCTTTTTGTCCTCCCCCTCCTCGTCCTCCACCTCCCTCCCCCCTCCAACTTATGGTGGTGGTGGTGGTGGAAAACAGGCCCGTCCGCCTGTGCACGTCCTGGCCCGCCAGGTTCAAGAACCCTCGAGAGACGAGACTCGCGAGCATCGTGCAGATGAACACGCGGAAGGTGAGCTCGGACGGCCACGACGTGACCGTGACCTCCTCGAACATGTAGAGGATGCCCCCTACTGGCGCGCCGAATGCCGATGCGATTCCGGCAGCACCTCCCAGGATGCAGCCGATCCGCTTCGCGTGCGCGAAGCGCTCCTCGTCTATGAAGCCAAACGAGCCGCTCGACGCCCGATCTTGCAGCTGCACCTCGTTGCGCACGTACTTGGCCGCCAGGACGTGCACAGTGCCGATGCCGAGGCAGCCCCCGATGCAGACCATGGGCCCCTCTCGGCCGATCGGCAGGCCTCGAGGAAGAGAAAACGGCATAAACAGAACCCTCCGAGGGCCGCGCGGATTTCTTCGATCGGCGCCCGACCCACGCGCCACCGGCGCCGCCCCTGGCGCGCTCCGCGCGCCAGGGAGGGGGCCCAGCGCCGATCCAAGAAATCCGCGCGGACCTCCGAGCCATATTCCCCGTCGCAATATCCACATGATTCGATGCTGGCCCTGTTAGCTCGCGCGCTTGCCGTTAGCATCACGAGTCAACCACGAGTCAAGCAACCCGAGTCGAGAGGGGCCTCCAGCCCCTGGCCTGACATGATACGTAATCGAACAAGCGTTCTCAGAGAAGCGGGGCCGGAAAAATCTTGAACCCAGCACTTCGAACGCAGTGCTCGCCAATGTCAAGGCCAGAGGTGGAGGGGGGGGGCTTTGGTGCTTCCCAGCTCAGGCGCTGCAGAGCTTCTTCCTGCCCCCGTCCAGCCGTTTTCCGCCTGTCGCTTCCTCCTCCCCGAGGGCCAGCGGCGACGGCGAAGACGATGCCGAAGACGCGGACGTACAGGTTGATCGGCTGGAACATGTCGGGCACGTGGCTCCCGTTGAAGTACCCCTTCGCCTGGGGGGCCGGCGCTCCCCGAGCAGAGGGCGGCGCGAGGGGCGGCGGCCTCCCGAGAAGGCCGTGGGGGAGCTCCCCCGCAGAGGTGCACAGCGCAGCCAAGGGGCCCCCGAGCGGTGTGGTGGCCACACCGTGCGGAGGGCAGCCCGTAGAGTGAGGGCACGCGAGGAGGGTGCCTCGGGGGGCGGGGGCCTCGGGGAAGGCCCTCTCGAGGCTCTTCGAGCGGGGCGCGGCCAGCAAAAGTGGCCAGGGATGGGCCCCAGGGGCAAGGATGTGCAAGGGTACCCTTGGGAAGGTTGCCCATCCTTTTTATGCGGGTTGGCTGTGCAGCCATCGTGCTACCATGCAGCACAGGGAAGCACCAAGTGGACACTCCCCCTCCCCCCCACACTCAAAGTTGGCGCGCGCGGGGGACGACTGCGGTCAAAATGCAACTCATTCTCAACCCGCCGCCAGCATGGATCATCGGGGGGGGGGGCCTTGACAGCTGGCTGTGGCATGAGCGTTCGCAAACTTCTGCCGAGGCCTGCAAGGAACGCACAAGAAGGAACGAAAGGGCTTTTCTGGCCACGGCGGGCCTGTGCCACAAGCAGGCTCCACGACACAAATCTCAAGAGCGGCCCGGGAGCCCCTCCGGGGCCCGAAGCGGACCTTCCTTCAGCGCCTCGACAGCGGTTTGGTGGGGATTCGAAGCCGTCGCACGGAGGAGGAGGAGGAGGAGGAGGAGGAGGAGGAGGAGGAGGAGGAGGAGGAGGAGGAGGAGGAGGAGCGGGAGAAGGGGGAGGGGACAAGCTAGGAGCGCTCGCGTCATATCTGACGTCCTACCCCTCCTTTCCATTCCTTACCACGACGTAGATCTCCTCTCTATTCGCACTATCGGATGTCGAGCAGGGCAATGATCGCGAGTGGGTGCGCTATGCATCGTAGAGCACGGCATAAAATGGCGTAGAAGAACACGGCAAAGCGTAGAATGTCATAGCATGGCGTGGCATTGCGTAGTGAAGCATTGCATCAAAACATTGCAACGCAAAGCATGGCATCGCACAGCGGCGCAAAACAGAACACCGCACAGCATGTCATGGCAGGGGGCCGGGTTCCTTGGCGGGTAAATGAATCCTCTTCGAAGAGTCTGGGCCGGTCTGGAGTCACGGCTCCATGTTTACTGTTTACCTCCATGGGCTCCCCGAAAAGCTCACCACAAGGCCGGGCTGATGGAGAGGTGGCTCTGCTTGCAACATCGCCTTCTGAAAACAGAAACGAGGCTCCTGCTTACTTCCTCCAAGCGACGCCGTCCCGAAATGGGGGTGGCCTGCTGCGGCCCAGAAGTTCAACGAATCGACCCGCATGTGTTATCACTTGCGATGTTTTTGGGGAAGTTATTTTCTAAATTTGGGGCCTACTTGGAAGGACCGAAAACGCCCGCGCTACAGCGGGCGTACGTTTTGGTACAACCAGAAGCGCAGAGATGGGGCCCGCGCTGCCGCGGGAGTAACATTTTGAAGGACCGAAGACAATCGGATTGTCAGAACATGTATGGAAACCAGGAAATGAGGCCAGCTCTGCAGCGGGAGCACGATTCGGAACGAGCGGAAGCGCGGAAATGATGCAAGCGCTGCAGCGGGAGCACGATTCGGAACGAGTGAAAGCCCGAAAATGAGGCCAGCGCTTCAGCGGGAGCAACATTTTGAACACAAAACCCAAACGAAAACCCAGTTCCCCGGAACCCCAGACATCTGCAGTTGTGGACACTGTCGTTGTATGCACGGCATTCGGTTGAGCTCCTTATGGGGCTACCAACCGTGCGAATGGTGTGCCAAAATGGGTGCGATGGGTGCATGCGAACGCTGGCATTTGGGCCTTCGGTTGGGGCTCCCTGTGGGGACACGAAGCGTGTGAGGGACGTGCGTGCCAACATGGGTTCGGTGGGCGCATGCGAATGCTGGCATGTGGGCCTTCGGTGGGTCACCATGTGGGGCAAACGTGTGAGCGGTGTGCCAAAATGGGTGCGGCGGGCGCACGCGACCGCTTGCATTTGGGCCTTCGGTGGGGCTCCCTGTGGGGCCACGAAACGTGTCAGGGGTGTGCCAAAATGGATGTGGTGGGCGCGTGCGAACGCTGACATTTGGGCCTTCGGTGGGGCTCCCGAGTGGGGCCACGAAACGTGTGAGGGGTGTGCCAATATGGGCGCGGTGGGCGCATGCGAACGCTGGCATGTGGGCCTTCAGTGGGTGTGGTGGGCGCGTGCGAACGCTGGCATTTGGGCCTTCGGTGGGGGCCACGAAACGTGTGAGGGGTGTGCCACTCTGGGTACGGTGGGCGCATGCGAACGCTGACATGGGGCCTTCGGTGGGCGCATGCGAACGCTGGCATTTGGGCCTTCGGTGGGGCTCCCGATGGAGCCACGAAACGTGTGAGGGGTGTGCCAAAATGGGTGCGGTGGACGCGTGCGAACGCTGGCAGTTGAGCCTTCGGTGAGGTTCCCTATGGGGCCACGAAACGTGTGAGGGGCGTGCCAAAATGGGCGCGGTGGGCGCATGCGAACGCTGGCATTTGGGCCTTCGGTGGGGCTCCCTATGGGGCCACGAAAATTGTGAGAGGTGTGGCAATATGGGTGCGGTGGGCGCATGCGAACGCTTGCATTTGGGCCTTCGGTGGGGCTCTCTATGGAGCCACGAAGCGTGTGAGGGGTGTGCCAAAATGGGTGCGGTGGGCGCATGCGAACGCTGGCATGTGGGCCTTCGGTAGGGCTTCCTCTAGGGCCCCGAAACCAGTCATGGGGTGTGCCGAAATGGTGGACATGCGGAGGGCAGAGGCTGGGATGGGAGGAGGCAGGGGGCAGCGGAGTGAGGTGACGCGGGGCGCTGTCTCTTCAAAACGAGGACCCAACACCACAGGATGGTTGGGAGCAATACGCGAGGGGGGCCGAATTTTTGCCGCACGTCATCAGGGGAGAGAGGGGAGTAGTATTCATATTGTGTAGTTGTTGAGGAGGAGGAGGAGGAGGAGGAGGAGGAGGAGGAGGAGGAGGAGGAGGAGAAGGAGGAGGAGGAGGAGGACGACGATGGGGTCGTTCTCCGAGGATGCCTCGGGCGACTGGAGCCTTCGAGGTCCCTGGACCGAGTGGTGAGTCCCAGGGCGCCAATACGAGAGGAGAGCAGCTGCGGGGAGGGCTGGCCACTCGGTATTTGGAGTCGACGCTGTGGGACGGTAGCATGGACAAAATATTCGGGTCCTCGCACATTTGAAAAGGATGTTCATCAGCCCTCCGCCCCCGAAATCAATGCTGCCTTGAGCATGGGTGGTGGTTTGGGGGTCCGAATATTTCTGTCCACCGTTGTCCACCCATGCCCTCTCCATTGCCGCGGCCTCAATATTTAACTCTGGGGGATCGGGAGGGGGTGTTCTCTTGCGCCGCAGGGCTCGAACTCACTGTCCAGGTACTACGCGAGGCCGCAGACAAAAGGCGGGCAACTGGTCGGAAGCGGCTGCAAGCAGGAGCCGGAGTCGGGCAACAGGGGCCGGAATCGGACGAGAGCGGCCCGAGTCTCAGCACCGTGCGGAGGCCCCGAATCTCCACTGACTCACCGCGCGGTGTGGTCACCACACTGCTTTGGGGGCCTCCGAGCTTCCGCAGAGGTGTCGGCGGTGGACAAACCTCCCTTTAACGAAAACGGCCCAGGACCGAAATCGACGGACCTGGACCCGCAAAAATGACGGCCGCGACGCCCTCTCGCGAACCGAAAACGGCCAATTCGCTGGTCGACGCGTCAGGGTAGGAGGTCTGTCCACCCCCGCAGGCGAGACGCGGGCAGGACCGGGACAACAACGGACCCGGACTCGTCGGGAATCTCTGCCGCTGGCGGCTCTGGAGGCTCTCTCGGGGGCCGCGGCCGCTCCGGAGCGCTCGGGAGCGCGGTGAGAGCGCGCCGGCACGCCTCCTCCCGGCCCCCGAGCCAGCTCGACGAGGGCGGGGGCCTTTTCGGAAGGGGCGCCCCGAGGCGGCGCAGATGGCTACACAGAGAGGCAGTGTGCCGGGCGCGCGCCAGCGTGGATCACGGATCCGTGGATCCGGCGCGCGGACACCGGGTCTGCCCTGCTCTGGGCCATCTCGTCAGCAGGGCGGGAATGTCCGCCCCAGTCCCACCTTTTCGCATCGATTGGGATGTATTCCTCAAGATAGACTTGCCCCGTATGAGTCCTAGCTCATCGTAAGTAATTGGTCTTGAGGATCCCCCCCTTTTTCTAATGCCCCCCCCCCTTTTTCCAATGACACCCCACCTTTTTCCAATGGCATTTGCTTGCTTTTGCGTGCTTGCTCTTGCTTGCTTGTTATTGCTCGCTTGCTCTTGCTTGATTCCGCTTGCTTGCTTGCGCTTGCTTGATTTTGCTCCTCCCGTCCTGCTCCCGTCCTTCTTTCGTCCTCCTCCCATCCTCCTCTCGTCCCCCTCCTGTCCTCCTACCTATGTGGAGTCAACGCTGGCTGATATTTGACACAGTTTTAGTTGGAGAATCAGCCAGAATACGGCGGATCTGGAGTCAGGGCGGGGAAAATACCCCCGAGACATGACGCCACTGCCGCCTGTTTTGGCGACGGAGAGCATCAATTTCATAATTATGGAAGCGGGACCCGTCGCAAATCCACGTACCGCAATAAGTTTGCGTTTCCTCGAGTGGGGGCTTCTGGGAAGTCCCGGCCTTCCTCGGGGGTGGACAAGGCCCTCTTTTAGAAGACGCCCTTCTGTAATAGCGACCCGAGCCCAAACCTGGCGGGGGCAGGCCCGCAAACATGGCGGTCGGAACGCCCTCTCGAGAATCGAAAAGAGGCTATTTGCCAATCGGCTCGGCAATGGGGGGTCTACCGACCTGTGACCATGAAGCCCCCCCAATTTAGAATGAGCGGGTGAAGATCGGTATAGCATAAACGTTTCCGCAATCGGGGCACTTATCCGTGGGCGGCTGGGAAGTTTGTATCCCTATAGTGGCAGGTGGAGGTACTAACTTCACAGCCGCCCTGGTACAGACGCCGCCCCAAACCATAGCAAAGTTCATGTTATACCCTCCTTCGCCCGCTGATAGAGGTGGTCGCCCCCCTCGTGCTGACCCCCCTGAGATCCGACGTTGCGAATAAAATACAGCATCGCGAATAATCACGACCAGAGCCCCAGACCCATGTTTTTTCCTTCCCCGCAAACATCCAGATGTCGCGGTGATGATCCTGTGGCTCGCGCGCGTGCCATTCGCATCTCGAGCCAAGTGACAAGAGAACACGAAGCAGATCCGCAACCCCAATCGAGAGGGGTGAAGCCCGATGCTGCACTGTGCAGCGTTGCACCGCCCAGGCCGAAGCAACGACCCCATCCTTCTGTACGGCAGGTTCGCGCGTCATGTCGGCTTCGGCGTTGGTTTCTGGCACCGCGGGAATCGTTCAACCTTGAACGATCGGCCGTTGTCGAAACGTCCAAATCGTTCCACATCGAACGATTCTGGGTCACCCGCGGCGTTCAACGCTGAACGCCGCTGGCGGGGTCGCCGCCGGTCGACACGACACGAACCTAACGTAGCACCTCTCGAGCCAGACCGATCCGTGATGGCCCCGGGGACCGAGACCGCATTGCACCGCCCGGGTCTCAGGCTGCGCCCCCCCCCCCGAGCTCTTGGCCTTCGGGCCATCACTCTCAGGCCTCCGGCGGCCCTTCGGGACGAGCCTCAGGCAGCCCCCAGGGACGCTCTTCTTGCGAGGCGCGGCCGCTGGAAGGCGCCCCGCCGAGGCTGCGAAACCCGTCGAGGGGACCGCCCGCCGCGCCCGAGAGCACGTCGGCCTCCGAGCACTTCGAAGGGCCTCCGGGCCGCGCCGTGGCCCGCGGCCGCCCCGATCTCTCTCGCGGGCGGGGGCGCCGCGGCCCGCCTCCGGGAGGCCGGAGCCCGCGCAGATGGGCGCCGCGAAGACGACGCTGCCCACCGCCACGGCGCAGAAGGCGCAGCAGATGGCCGCGAGGGCCAGGGCCCCGGCGGCCACGCCGGCGTGGGAGTAGACGTACTGCGGGAGGGGGGCGCCGAGTGGCGGCGTCCACGCTGCACAAAAGGGGATGTAGGGAGCAGGCAGTGATAGGGTGGGAGTGGCCAGGGCTGGGGAAACTGGCAGCGGGTCAGAAGCGAGCCTCACACAGTAGGGTTGCGGTCGCCAGGGCCGAAGACAAGTAGAAGGAGACTGGCCAGGGCTGGGAAACGTGGAAGGGCTGGCCCCGGTCACTTTCTGCCAGCTTCCATGTGGTGTTGCAGCGGGGGTGCGGCTCCAGGCCTCCACCGTACAGTCGAACCTAGGGCAGAAGTACATCCGAGAGCACCCTCCCCAGGGTGCACAAAAGCATCCCATAAAAAACAAAGAACACTACCCTCCCAGAACCGACCTCGATCTTATACCTCGGTCCGACTGTATTTCAAAACCGAGACGGTATAATGTTTTCGGAGACTGGAATCCCTCGCAGGGACCCCGCATGGGAAAAATCAGGACAACGGACGTCTGGCCCTGTGTTGGGGGCAGGTTGTGGGACACCCCCCCCTCCCCCCTTCCCCGTGAGGCGACACGGGCCGGGGGGGGGGGCGTGCGAGTAGACGTGCTGCAGGATAGCCCCAGGTCGAATCGGAATGTCGAGTCGGCGCCATCGAAATGCCCCAGAGGATCGAAAACCTCCGCTTCGGATGTCGGACCTCCGTTTTGGAGGCGAGGGAGTTCCAGAATTGAGGAAAACAAGCCTCATGAACGGTGGTCGAACTTCCGTTTTTTAGGGTCTTGATTCTCTCGGACAGTCGTCGCGCTAATTACCATAAGGGGCGCAAAGTAAGGAACGACGCTCCGTTTGGTCCCAAAGATCGCCAGGGAGCACCGGAAGCGCGAGAGAAGCAACCACCCTTTCGAACCCGAACTGCTCCTGACGTCGACGTGCCGAAAGTTTTGTGACGAAATGAAATACAATCATCTTGCATTGGCAGGGGCAACATCCCGTCCAACGGGAATTCTAGAACCGCCTGCTTCACGCTGGGATATCAAACTACACCGCTTGAGACATCGAATGCCACACCAAAAGATGAGCGACGAAAAGAAACGGGTCCTACGCGAGAAGACATAGCGACCTTACGCTGCGGCGTACGCGGGCCGCCAGCGTGGCACACCGCGTGGAGAAGAGGGCGCTCACGCGCGACCTTACGCGGAAAGCTTGCCCGCGAATGTCGGCACAATGGACCCTGCATTCTTCCGTCGCTCCGACGAGATCCTGGACCCAGAGATCCCGGATCTCTGCTCCGCCTAGGCTCTGGACTCCGCCCACAGGGGCTCCAGGGGGGGACGGCGGAGGGGGGGGGGGGGCAGCTCGGCGCGGTCGGAACAGGGGGGCAGCCTCCGCCGAGGAGGAGGAGAAGGAGGAGGTGGAGGAGGAGAAGGTGGAGGAGGAGGAGCCCGCACACGTGGAAGTAGCGGGCGAAGCCCATGTCATCTTGACGCGCTCATCAAGCGCGGCGAACTTGTGCAACGGCGTAGGGCGTAGCATTGTAGCATCCTGGCTGTGCATCAAATCGGCAGAAACCGGCGGGCGGACGAGGACGCGTCGAAGCCGACGTCTGGCGTCTGGCGACCCGAGTCGAGGCGTGTCGAGGCCTGCAGAGGGTAGTCCTGCACAGGGGAATGCATGGAACCGACGGGGTCGAAGTTAGCCAAAGAAAATATTATGTAAACATAAACGTTCGGAGGTCCGCGGGATTTCTTGGATCTGGGCTGGACCCCCTCCCTATTGCGCGGGGCGCGCCAGGGGTGCCGCCAGGGGGGTCCAGCGTTGATCCAAGGAATCCTCGGAAGAAAAGAAGAACTGCAATGCAAGAAACCGTTTTCTGACCAATGAACGAAAAAGCTTTTCTGGCCACTGAGAACCTCGGCCACCAATAGATTTCCCGACCTGGATTCAAAAATAGACGGCCCGAAAATCAGGGCCCAAGGGCCCCTCCTGAACACCAGTTGGTCCCTGCTTCAGCGTCTTGACTGTGTGGCCTTTCAGGTCCTCGGAAAAAAGGCGCCTGCACGGTCCGCAGCTTCCAGCCCACCATGCTCGCGTCCGCGATGACCATCACGAAATTCGTGGCGCCCACCAGCAGCGGGATGATGATCGGAGGAAGGCCAGCTGAGACAACGGCGGCTCTCTCTCTCTCTCTCTCTTGGCGGCGAGCGAGGGGGTGGAAGCGAGAGGAGGCGGGCCTTCCCAGAATGCTCGGAAGTCCCCCAGCTTTCTCGACGCGGATAGCCGGCCAAGGCGACGGGAAGCCTCTCCGTCGGGGGGCGGCCAAGAGGAGGGGGGCGCAAATCATAGCCAGCGGCATGTGCGTGGCCCAGGGGGGGGGGCAGGGACGTAATGCAATAAGAAGAGGCGCCATGAAATCTGGGGAGGATACCATGGCCCTCGCCATGATATCCCCCCCCCCTAGTCATCACCCACCTCCTTTGCCGCCCCCGACTCCGGGAGGAGGCCGACGGGGGGCGGCAGAACGCCGGGGAGGTCCGCCGTTGTCTCGACAGTGGGCTGCACGTAAGAGGGGTCTTTAGGCAAGAGTGACCCGAAGGCGCCCTTCGGGGTCCCGGAAGGCGCCCTCCAGGGGTTGAGTCGGGCATGTCCCTCTACAGGACGATGTTCAAACATAGTCGAAAAAACAGTCCGTGGAGGATTTTTCGACTCTGACTATGTTTGAACATGTTTGGAGCTGTTTCTAATGTTGTTTCCTCCCAAATCCGCCTGTAGGAGGACGTGCCCGACCCAACTCTAGGGTCCCAAGCGGGGGCCTTCGGGGCCCGTGAAGGGCACCCCGCTCCCCCCCGCCCCAAGTCTCGCCCCCCTCCCTTCACTCGCGACCAGCTTAGAGGCCTCCCAGATGGGGTCCGAGTAGATGGGGTCGAAGGATCGCGCCGCATCGTCGGCGACGTCGGCGACGCATCCACGACGTCGGCGTGGGGAAAATCGAGCTCCGCATCGAGCCGCATCGTCGATGCATCGGCGATGCGGCGCGATCCTCCGACCCCATCCATCTATAGGACCCCATCCGGGAGGCCTGGACAGCTCTCGCCTGGCGCAGGTCCGCTCCGCATCGGCCCCCCGACCTCCCTCGGGGCCCGGCCCGACCCGCTCCTCGACGCGGGCAGCCGGCCAAGGCGACGGGAAGCCTCTCCGGGAGGAGGCCGACGAGGGGCGACAAAGCGCCGGGGGAGGGGCCGAAGCTGTCTGGACAGTCGGCTACCAGTCGGCCCCGTGCCAGAGGAGCGTCCCTCAGTGACGCGAGGCCCTGCGTCGGGCAAAACAAGCAGAACATCCAAGGGTACCCTCCACAGGAGGCGCAAGAGCATCCAAGAAGCACGAAGAACACGAGGGTACCCTCCCCGAACCGACCTCGGTCTTATACCGCCGGTCCGATTGTAAGAGTGACCCTAGGCAGGAGTGACCTTTCGTGGGCGGAGGGGGCGCAAGGTGGCCAGATCCAAGCGCGCAAGCAGCCGCTACTGCATCGCGCTCCGCGATCGGGGGGGGGACCCTGGTGGGCCCGCACGTCAAAGGTCACTCCGGCGAAGGGTCACTCTTACTGGGGAAACCGAGAGGTACATATACCGCTACTCCCCCGACCTCTCCCCGGGTGCGATCTGATCAGGATTTCGAGGCGAATCCAGCGGTGGCGACGAGGGCCTCCCGGGAGGCCCGAACAGGGGAAAACGGGCGAAGGGTAGAGGCATGGGTACCTTTTTCTCCTCTGACTTCCGCGCAGTCGACAACTGGCCCTCCTCCGAGATGAGCGTCACGGCCCAGATCACGCGCAGCGGCAGCCGGTGCTTGCGCGGCTGCGTCATCTGCACGCGCTCGGATGTCCGCCTCCGGAGGCCTCCCATTTGGGGGTCCGAGCACAGACTGGGGGGCGGAGGATCGCGCCGCAGCGGCGATGCATCCCCGATGCTTGGCGACGTCGGCGTTGCATCGGCGACGTCGGCGTGGAGGTCGGGTCCAAATCGAGCCGCATCTCGGGGGCGGGCGCGCAAACATGGGTTGGCGATCTATGGATCTGGCGGGCGGTCGCCAAATCCATGGATCGGGGGAGGTGCCCTCCCCAAAATGCGGCCGGTGCCGCCTAGTTCGGCGGCGGAAATCCGCGATTTCCCATGGAAATGGGACCCGTCGCTAACCCACGCCCCCTTGATCCATGTTTGCGATCGCCTGAAAATCGAGCCGCATCGGCGATGCACCTCCGACGCGCGCTCCCCCAACCCCCCTCTGCGGTCGGGATCTTCTGCGCAGCGTGTGTCCGCGGCGGCCCCGGCGACACGCCGTGCCCTGCGAGAGGACATTGGCGTGTGGCTCCGCTCCGCGGCGCGGGAGGCTCGGAAAGGCTCGGGACGTGAAGCCTGGGGACTGGGGCGTGGCTGGCGTGTCGCTCCAGCGCGTGGTGGGCCAGAACCGGTGGAGCGATGCGCTGAGCCAGGATTCCTGACCGTGCTCGGATCCTGTGGTGGCAACTCCTGGAGGGCCCCCTACCATCTTGTTGGCCGACGGTGATCGACGCTCATCGACGGTGATCGAGGCAAAATCGACGCTAAGCGACGTTAGCCGACGCCAAATCGGGGCCACCTCATTGAGTACCAGACGCTACGCGACGCTAAAGACGCATCTAAGACGGCACGATCGCCTCCGATCATTTCCTGCCGGAGCACCCCGCTTGGGAGGCCCGGAGCCTCTTCTTCGCGCGCGACGGCGCTTCCTCGTCGCCCGTGCCCCGCGGCGCGCCGTCGCTCGGCAGCGTCCTCGCCGGGGGCGGGGCGGGCCTGACCGCTCCGCCGAAGACCCTCGCCCGCGCCGGCCCTGGGCGCAGGGTCGGCGTGCCCCTGAGGTCTTGGTGCCGCGACTATCTTCACGCCAGGCTGACGACGGTGATGGGGCGCACAGAGACATACTGATACTGTATGTCCTCCTTGGAGGCGCGCGTCCGACCCGAACAAACAGTATACCCATCTTGTAGTATATCGTTTCCCGAGCGGTGTGGCCAGAAAGCGCCCACCACGACGCGTATAGTATAAGATTTCTCGGTGCGCGCGTCGCCCCTGTGGGGGGCGACGCACATATAGCATGAGTATGCTGGGGTGACGCCGAGGTGAGGTCTTCAGGCGTGTTCGTTGGCTCCTGGACGTTTCCTCGCCTCGGGAGGCTCTCCAGCAGCAGCTGCGCCTCGCCGAGAGCGGTCGCAGGGGCGCCCGGAGCGCCCCGAACGGCCGCCTGAGGCCCGAGCTGTGGTTAAGTCGGGCCTGTCCCCCTACAGGCGGACTTTGGACGAGAAATAACAAATACTCAAACAAATACCCCAAACATGCTCAAACATACTCAAAGAAATAATCCCCCGACTATTTTTTGACAATTTTTGAATATTCCCCCTGTAGAGGGATACGCCCGATATACAGCTATGGTCCGAAAAACAAGCTCTGCCCGGGGGAGGGGTGGGACCCTGCAATCCGGGCGCTGCGTTTGTTTCACACAGGGCGTTTCTGCCCGCTCTCGACCCTGACTCAGAATCCGCCGTGCGTTCTGGGCGACTTCGCGCGCAGGGCGAAAACCCCGCCCTGCTCTCCAGGCTCCTTTGATGCCGTCGCTGTTTCCGTCATACCTTTGCGGAAACATCAGCCCCAGCTTTGTGAGGCGGAAAAGTCCACCCTACTTATTTGCACCTTACGGAATACATGTTCGGCATGACTTCAAGCCAGAACACCAACCAAATGACCGCGGATCCGGAATCAGGGTGGCCCTGGGACCCTCATAGATCGATGCGGCTCGAGCAGTGCCGCCGAAAGAGTGGGTCTAGGGCTCCAGTTGTCAATTCTGTGGCTCTCGAAACCCAAAGTAACTCGGCGGCGAGCCTGGGGGGGAGTGAGAAGGATAATGCCTTGTCAAGAGAGGTTCGGATGTCTCCCCGCCCTCTGAACATGTTTCGAAGCCTTCCCCGAAAACGCAGAAAACCTCTGGGAAGGCGCGGAAGCTTCTGAGAGGTCCCGCCGCCTTCTGAGGTCTTCATGTCAAATTCTCGACACCATAGGGGGTGCGCAAAGGGGGTGGTCTCTGACCCGTGCCGCTATCCGTGACGGTCGTCCACAGCACAGTAGGCATGGCATATTCTCGACACCAGAGGGGGTGCGCAAAGGGGGTGGTCTCTCACCGCGGCCGCTATCCATGACGGTCGTCCATGGCACAGCAGGCATGGCATATTCTCGTCACCATAGGGGGTGCGCAGGGGGTGGTCTGTCACAACGGCCGCTATCCGTGACGGTCGTCCCCGGAACAGCAGGCATGGCACATTTTCGACACCATAGGGGGTGCGCAAGGGGGTCTCTCACCGCGGCCGCTATCCGTGACGGTCGTCCATGGCACAGCAGGCATCGCAGATTCTCGACACAATATGGGGGTGCGCAAAGGGGGTGGTCTGTCACCGCGGACGCTATCCGTGACGGTCGTCCAGAGCACGGCAGGCATGGCATATGCTCGACACCATAAGGGGTGCGCAGGGGGTGGTCTCTCACCGCGGCCGCGCTATTCGCGACGGTCGTCCAGGGCACAGCATGCATGGCACATTCTCGACACCATAGGGGGTGCGCAAGAGGTGGTCTTTCACCGCGGCCGCTATCCGTGACGGTCGTCCATGGCACAGCAGGCATGGCACATTCTCGACACCAGAAAAGGGTGCGCAAAGGGGGTGGTCTCTCACCGCGGCCGCGCTATCCGTGACGGTCGTCCACGGCACAGCAGGCATGGCACATTTTCGACACCATAGGGGGTGCGCAGGGGGTTCTCTCACCGCGGCCGCTATCCGTGACGGTCGTCCATGGCACAGCAGGCATCGCAGATTCTCGACACCATAAGGGGGTGCGCAGGGGGTGGTCTGTCACCGCGGCCGCTATCCGTGACGGTCGTCCAGAGTACGGCAGTCATGGCATATGCTCGACACCATGAGGGGGTGTGCAGGGGGTGGTCTCTCACCGCGGCCGCGCTATTCGTGACGGTCGCCCATGGCACAGCATGCGTGGCACATTCTCCACACCATAGGGGGTGCGCAGG